CACCAACAACAAACAGATAAAAAAAAAAACACCAAAAAAAAACACAACCCAAACAAACATCACACGCTGAACCGTTCGCCTCGAGCAATTAAGCGTCAGTCAGCTGATAGATAAATGTACTAAAGCCCAGAATATTTATTTTATCTATTTTCAAATTGCAGTTACTTCCTCTTCGGTATATCGCTTACATGTGCTAAGGAAGTATTTCATCGAAATTCAACTTCTAAATGCTGAAAAAAGGGTAAAAAAAATAGATATGCCTAAAGTGGGTAGCCTACAATAATTGTTAAAAGAATGAGATCTATTTTTTTAAAAATCTCCCCTGTGAAATTCTGGTTTCTGAGCTTAGTGCATTATTTAAATAGACAGCCGACGACCGCGTGAAGTGTTGTTGTTTAGTTTTACTATGTGTTTTAAGGCATTTGCAACACAGTCAGATCATATAAGTGCCGAAGCGTAGAGGTGTTACAAGGGAGTAATAAACACAAACATTAAGGAGGGGTGATAATAACGATAGATGTATGATAGAAAGGAAGGAGTAAACCACACTAGATCACCGCCAACGGCCACAATCAAGTGTGGTTGAGTAAAGAGAAGGAAGCACATCGGAACGATTTTTTTTTAAACGCCGTTTGCTGCCGAGATGGAGTAAGGCTGTGGGTGGTTGGCGGGTTGCTCTGTTGTGGTTTGCTCCTTCTTTCACCTATCATTCATCTATTGTCCTTGTGTTGTTAGATCTAGGCTCTTCTTCACTTTTGCATCCAGAAGACTGGGGTTCCATTCTCTCCCATGAGAGCAAGTTTTTTTTTTTTTATGGAGTCTGCCTGTCGGCTGCTTGTCTGTTTGTCTGTCTGTCTATCTGTCTGTCTGTTTGGGTGCGGTTTCCCTTTCATACAGGCTTAATTGGCTCTGACAGGCAGGACCGAAGCAGCTCAAACTAATAAATGATAAAATAAGTGTTGATTGGGGCGTGTAAAACGTTACTATAAAAAGTACAAAAAATATGTCAAACCATGTTCACTCGCAAATAGTAATGATAAATTAATGATACTTTTATATCCAGACCTCTACTCTGTGTGTAGTTGCATTAACTGTGTGGGTATCCCCTCCAAGATACACAACAGCTGCTGTTGGCCTTGGTGTATGATCCTGCAAAGGAACAAAATGTTGGCTAGCTGTTAAAATTTTCAACGTCCAAACATTTTTATTTTAAAAAATGATAATTGCAGTTTCTTGGTCTGTGGTATCGGTTACATGAGCAGAAAAGAAAAAAAATTTCGTTGAAATTCAAATTCTAAATGATTTAGGTACAAGTGTTAACAGAATGAAACATTAAATTCTAAACGTAAAAAAAGCAAGGAAAAAATTAATGCATAATCTAGTAGAAAGTTGTTTCTGCATCCGATCCGGACATTGGGGATTGCCTTGTCGTTAGTCAGACAACTTCAAGGGCCTTCGGAGGGTGGCCAGTTCCTTTCCACGTCGTCTTTACTTCCCAAACTCGAAGTCAAGTACCCGTTACTGCTGGGTGGGCAGGAGGGAGCGAAAAAAATCCGTGTCCGAACCGAGGCTCGAACCCTGACTTTCCACTTCGGAGACGAGCGCACTAATACCGCTCTGCCACCGCACCCTCACATGATCTAGAAAGACGTGATCTAAACGATGAAGACAGGCAGTAAGATTGAGACTACGTTACAAGGAGAGAGATATTGTATAAGAAGAATATATAAACTACATTCATAATGTTGTCTAAGCTCTTGTGGATAAATATTTTTTCCAGCGCAAAAGTTTGAGCCAAGAGTTTGTATTGCATTTGCATGCAAGCCTCCAACATCTAGTACAACTGTTTTAAGATTTTTTAAAAAAATTATATCTCTCCTGTATACGTTTGCTTTCTGGGCTTCGTGCATTTGAACAGCCTGCCGACGAAAATCAATTTCCTTAAAGCCACGGTCTGTTGACTTTGAATTCTGATCTTGGCCTCGTGTGTAGATGGCGTGGAAGATTGGAACAGGGGTCGTGTTGCGTTCTGTTGGATTACTACACTGACTGACACACTTCTCCGAGCCCCAGCTGCAGCAGCAGCGAGTGTCGGGTTCTCTGTCTACTGTCTGTGCGTTCGCGTGTGCAGACACGTGTGTGTGTGTGTGTGTGTGTGTGTGTGTGTGTGTGTGTGTGTGTGTGTGTGTGTATGTGTTTGTGTGTATGTGATCATGTGAATTTCTGTTTAT